CCTGCCAAGCTTCTTCCTTCCCCTCAATGCTGCTAAACTGGGACATGGAGCACCTTGAGAGCAGCTTAGTTTCTTGCTGCCTTTGCCAAGGCGCAAAGCAGAGGAGAGGCAAGGGAGAGGAGAAACAAGGCAGCTCGGTTTGGACCAGTGGGCGGTCGCAGTGCCATGGGGGAAGCTGGTGGGGGCTGTCCCTCGGAGAGGGACAGGGTCCGTGAGGGGCAGGGGTGCTATGGGAGGCCGCTGTAGGCAAGCTGCACCAGCACACGCTGAAAACACTGTCTTTGTGTTGCTCTGCCTGGAGCCGAGAGGGCCCAAGGCCAGGAGGGAGATGCACGAGCCCGGGTGGAGCTGAGCAACCCACAGACCCTGCCCTCATGCAGCAGCAGCAGCGCAGCCGCAAGAGCCTGGGATCTTAACGCCCCTACTGAGCCCAGACGCTCTCACTGCCCCATGGATCACAGCATTTGCCTCTGTGTAGGGGATGGCCCCTGCTTGGCCGCTGGCAAGCTCTCACCTCCTTAGCCAGGGGCTGCAGGCTCCAGCCCTGTCCACCCCCTCACCCCAGCCTCTTGCTGGCCCAGGACCTGTGTGGGCAGGAGGCTGCAACTTGTCCTGAGGAGAAGGCAGGAAGCAAAATGCAGTTTCAGGTCAGACCTGACGCCGAGGCAATGGGTATAAAAGTGCTTCTCAGGGCTCCCATCTCCTCTAGGAAAGGTCAGAGCCAGGTATCCCAGCAACCCGTGGGATCTCTCCCATGGCAGGACTTGGCTGGAGCCAGCAGGGTCCCTCAGGGCTGAGGGAGTGCTCACAGCCAGGAGAGAAAGGGCTCTGTGCTCTTACTCTTGTAGGAACCTGCCAGATAACACCCAGTAGCTCCTGAGCTGGGTGGCCTTGCAAGCAGCCAGCCCAGATGCCATTGCCAAGGACAAAGCTTGCGGGAGGCAGCGTGGAAAGAGCTGGGAAAGCCAGCAGCGGTGGCGGGGCCAGGAGGGCCCGGCCAGGTTTAGGTCTCAGGTATGAGACTCACTCCACATGGGTCACCCACCTGCATCTCACACATAGGCAACACAGAGCTTCTGGCTCTGCTCCGTGCCCCCCAATAATGCAGGTCCTGGCTTGTGGGCACCTCACAGCGGGAGCCCCATCACCAAAGCAGTACCAAAGCCTGTTTGGCTTCTGCTCCCCTTGCCTCCTCCCGGGTGCGCACAGCAAGCAGCAGCCTGGTGGGCTGTGGGCTGACCCCTGTCTCCTTTGGGCAAGAGAAAGCCCTCACAACGAGCTAAGCTGTTGCGCATGGATTGAGCCTGCATCTAGCACACCCTGAGCCCTCAAGAAGCTGCTACCTGCAGATCTGAAGCTCACCTGAAGATGCTGCACCCCAGCAGCAGCAGATGGCACCCCCAAGCCAGCTTTGGCTTCCACAGAACGTGCCTGCGGTGAACAAGGAGGGGAAGAGGAATCATGCAGCGCCTAATGGCTCTGGCTGATCACAGCTGGCTGCAGCGCAGCTCGGCATCTCCAGAGCACCATACAAACACTGGCTGATTAATCCCGCAGCCACCTGGGGAGCTGGGCAAACCCAACAGCTCCATCCCGCAGAGTCAATATGGACGCTCTCGGCAGCACGAGCTGCAAGAGCCTCTGCTGCTCCACATGGTGCTCCCCCACCAGCCTGCCTCCCACAGCAGACCAGGTGGCTGGGCTGCCCATCAGCTCCCCATCTCTAATGAGGGGACGAGAGACCACCTCTGCCTTAAATGAATCGCAGGGTTGCTGTCGCAGTGTAGATAGAAGTGCTTCTCTTGCACAAGGCTCTACCCCTCTCAGTGTAGAGAGGCCAGCACACGCTCTCTGTGCCCAAGCTGCTCTAGAGGAACCTGTGAGGGACTGGCTTGGCTTCAGAAATGAATTTCAGCCACTAAGAGTCACATTCAACTCAGAAACTTTAAAGGGTGTCGAACCTAGTGACGGTCCGGGCCCTGGTCCAGAGATCCTGATCTACAGCAGCTCTGGAGTGCCTCGGCCTGAACAGTGCGCGTGCTTCACATTAAGCGAGTGTGGGCTTTGCGCTGGACAAGCCTCTGCTGCTCCTGCCCCAATGCCTGGCGCAAATCTGACGATACTCTTCCCTTCCCTTACATCTGGCCTTACGCAGCTTGTGTCAACTGTGCGAGCATGGTCCAGCGTGAAGGTGTGGTCTGCAGCGGGGGGGTGAGTGGCTGTGGGTAGATGTGCTAAACCAGGGGCACTCAAACGTAAGGCTGCCTGGCATGAACTGGTAAGGGAGGGTCGGGAAGGAACTGCGTCACCCGTTCCCACTGTGCTCTGGCTGAGGGTCCCACAGTTGTCCTTGCCACCAATCCCGCCAAGTCCCCAAGTCCCCATGACCCCGCTGGTCCTGGAGGTGCCATCCCTCACGTCTGCTCATGCTCCCCTTGCTCTTGCAGGTGCCTCAGGGGGAGTGGAACAACACGCTGTCTCGGGACAAAGACAGCGAGATCCCGTGCCGGCGCATGCGGAGCGGGAGTTACATCAAAGCCATGGGGGATGATGATAGCGAAGACTCAGAAACCAGCCCCAAACCATCCCCGAAAACTGCAGCTCGGAGGCAGAGTTACCTCAAGGCCACCCAACAGTCCCTGAGTGAGCAGAGCACCACCCAAAGGTAACGCTGGAGCTCCCCCAGGAGCTCTGCGCAGGTCTCCAGGGGCCACCCCTGCAGCAGCCCTTGCCAGCAGCACCCACACAGAGACCCCACATGGGGGCCAGAGCCCATCAGGGCTCCTGCACAGCAGCTCGGACAGCCCACGAGGTGGGCGGATGAGGAGACACACAGGACAGGGGAAGAAGTGGCAGAGGAATGGGGCGAGCTTTCCGCCCTGGTGACTCCAAATAGTCCTGGCGTTCGGAGCCTGCTCCGGGTCCCTGTCCCCCCAGTGATGGGGAGGGCGCCCCCTTGGTGGAGCTGTGTGGATTTCCTCTCCAAGCACCAGCTCCTCCCAGGGAGTGCAGGGATCCAAGCCCGTGATGCTCTTTAGATGTGGAAGATGCTCAGCCGGTGTGGCTGAGGACGCTTGGCACGCGGCCCCGGGCTGCTGGGGCTGTGCCATCTTCCTTGCTCCATAGGAGTCCCAGGGACCCTGGGACCGGCCAGAAAGTGCCCCCTTGGCACACTAGGCTGGGTCACACCTTGACGCCAGGAGAGATGAGCTAAGTGGTCTGGGACCGGGTGCTGTGGGAGGAAGAGCCACAGTGGCTTGAGGCAGATCAACAGCAGAGCAAGGGGAGCACGGTTAAAGCTTGCTGGGGAAGGGGCTGGTCCTGGCGGGATGGGGGTGCCTGACCGGAGCAGGGTCCCCACTGGCTGCTCCCCCCCGCTCCGCTCCCGGGACAAGGCAGCTGGGGGCTCGGGAAGATATCAGCAGCCCAGAGGGGCAGGAGGAGGCAGGAGCCGCTGCAGCTGAGGTACTGATGTCCAGCAGACAGAGACAGGGGGAAAGCAAGGGTGCAGCAGGCAGTGTGGGGACCCCTCATGGTGGCTTCAGTTGCAGACCAGATGCTGCATTCTGCTGAGAGATGGTGACAAAACTGAGTATGAGGAGCCCTGGAAATGCCTGCTCTGAATCCATCCCTGTTCCCGGCTTTCACATCCACTTCAGGGGGAACAGAGTTGGGTCCAGGCATCTCTGATGCAAAACACCCAAGTTGAGAGACTGAGGTTGCTCCTATCTTGGGCTCCCTGCCCATTCAGGTCATGTCTGTCAGGGCATGACCTCACCTGGGCTGCTGGGGTCCAGCCAGAGCCCACAGGCAGGCAGCTTTGAGGAGGGGGCTCGGCAGGGCAGGGTGTCTGAGCAGAAGGGACAGAGCCAGCTGAGCCACGGATGTGGCTGCATGGGAGAGGAGGGGTCCAGGCAGGGATGGGCTGGATGTGGCCATTGCTGTGAGTGCGTGGTTCCCAGCAGATCTGCTGGAGGGAAGGACCCTGCTGGGGTGGGGGCTCCGCAGCTCTTGGAGCTGTGCACTAGCAAGAGATGTGGCATCCCCGTCTGTCCGTCCCCTCTGCCCCAGGCTGGTTGGGTGCCAGGCCATGAGCACAGTCAACCACCCTTGTGCACCCCCTTGCCCCTCCAAGGAGCTTTTTGGATGCTGTGGCCACTGTGGTTGCTGCAGGGCCTCGCTGGGGCCCCCCGCCAGCCCAGCATACCCTTGGGACAGCAGCGGGGACAGCGTGCCCTGGCACGGCCCCATGCCAGCCCTCACCAAGATCCTCAGTCTCCTTGTCCAGAGTTACTGGGGCCTTTTCTGGGCTCCAGCAGGTGAGGGGCATGGGGCATGTGGTTTGGGACAGAAGGAACTGCAGGGAGAAGGGCAGCTCCAGCCTTGGCCGGGACAAGGCACAGAGGAGTGAGACACAATGCGTCCCTGCGAGGGAGTCCCATCTGTTCCCTGCTTTGTGAATCGGTTTCCCCTCAGGCAGGCAGCGAGGGTGGGTCTGGGCGAAGCCCAGAGGGATGGGCACAGAGAGGTTGGCAGGGACCCTGCCCGCCCCAGGACACAACTGACTCGCACCACGGGTGCACGGTGAGCTCACAGGCAAAACTTTCTCCGGCTGAGGGACACAAGGCATAAAGAGATAGCCCAGGGCTTGTGGTGCCACCTTGCCCTTGGCCGCTCTCCCTTGGGGGCTGGGTGTCTCCTCCATCCCGCCTGGCAGAAGAGACTACTCCCCGCGCTCATCAGGCCGGGGATGGGGACTCAGGAGGTGCCATGGTCCCTCCCGGAGGTCCACATGCTGCAGAGGGCTCCCGCCCAGCCAGGACATACCCTGCCCTCAGCTTCACTGTCCCCCAGGCTGGCAAAGGACAGACCTCTGCACCCAGGGCGCTGCCAGACACCGGGGCACCTCAAGGGGTCTCCACAGGGACTATGGGCAATTCAGGAAGGGGAGTCTCCATGGCTCGCCTGCACTGGTGTGGCTGACCGTGCCCTCCACCATGCCCCACCTCCTCTGTGGCAAGGACCCCCAGGGTCTTGTGGTGGAACAGGAGAATGGGGGAGCCCCATCCTTCCCACATCCTTTGTCTTCCCCCCACATCCCCCTCACCCTTCCACATCCCTCCCGCCCCTGTGTGCCGGGCTCTCAGCAGAGCCCATGGCTGTGATTGGGGCTCAGTGCCAGCCCCTCTCTCCTCCACTGCAGAGGCTGCTGCTGAGCCCCGGGGCTTGGGGACGGTGCTTCTCTCAGAGCCTGAAGCAAAAGCCGCTCTGGAAACACCAACACACCCTGCTCCTGCAGCGCTGTCATTCAGGCTCGGCTTCCCTGGAACCTCTTCCAGAAAATCTTTTGGGTTCCTCTACACAAGTAAAAAAAAACAAAAACCCTGCAGATGTTTCTGATTGCAAAGTCCACAAAATACCATTTAAAGGTAATTTTTCACCCCTTCCCACCAGTCCAGGCAGGCAGGAGCCAGCTTCCCTGACCCTGGCCCCCAGCATCAGCCTGTGCAAGAGCCAGTCTGTCACTGGGGCTGTGGATCTGGGGGCTGGCACGGATCCCTGGTGCTCCCTGGGGTTTGGCTGGACCAACCTGGCATCAGTGGTGCATTCCTGGGGGCAGCAGGACACGAGGCCTTGACCCTTCTCCTTCCCCTGGGCCCTACAAACCATCACCCATGCGTCAGGCTCAATAGCTCAAGCCAGGGGCCAGCAAGTTGAGAAAGTGCTTCCTTCTATGCCAGGAGCTGCAGCAGGGGCCGAGCAGTGGGCTTGGTGCCCAGCATCATCTCCGTGCTGCTACCTGTGCCTGTGCCTGGCGTTGGGTGCCGCAGGCAGGGGTGGTTGGGCTCTGCTGGCAGGGGCACCTGCAGCACAGCCCCAGCTCTGCCCCTGCCATGGGGACACCCCTCACACCCTCTTTCCCCCTCTGGCAGGAGCCTGGACCGCCTGGACTCTGTTGAGATCCTCCTACCTCCAAAGTTCCCAACCTGGGAGGAAGAATACAACCAGATCTCCGACAGCGTCAATGAGTCCGGTTGCATCAACCAGGTGAGCTGCTGGAGCACTGAGCCCCACTGCACTGGCACACCCCAGTGAGAAAGGAGGCCGGCTGAGGGGAGAGAGGAACATCTTCTTCCCCCTTCAAAATACGGCACTGGCTGCCCTCTGAGAATTGCACATGCTAGCCTCTGGCAGCTTTGCCAAAGTGTAAAGTCCAGCTCCTAATTCTGATTCCTGTTGGAGTCCCCTTTGGCTCTGCTTCCTCTCGGCACTGCTGGTGCAGCTGAGGTCACTCTGCCGTGGCCACAGGGCCGGCAGCCCAGAGCAATGCTTCACAGCAATGGGTGAAGCTTGGGGCTGCTCTGAGCTCAGGGTCCCACCATGTCACCACCCAGAAGCTGCCTGCAAGGCTGCTCAGCCCCGCTGCGAGCTCCTCACTCCCGCTAGGTGGGTACAGAGCCCCTGCCAACCCCACCCATGCAAAAGGTGGCATCCAGCCTGGGACCCTGGAGCCGGTCACCGGGGACAGTAACCCTGCTTGCCTCCGAGGACCTCATCCCTCGTGCAGCAGGCACCCAGGAACGAGGTGCCCATAACTCAGGAGACTGTCCTGCCAGGGGATGTCTCCCTTGGCTATTCCTGGTCTCCATGGGCAAAGCCAAGGATGCCGATGAGGCACTGATGGTGGGTGGCAAACCCCTTGCTGCAGGGTGGATCATGCCCTGACCCCCACCTCTGGGGTGCAGTTGGTGCAAACTGGGTTTAACTCCCCGTCTCACGCTGTGACTCCCCTTGGGATTACTCTTGAGCAGCTCAGAGCTTGGGTGGCTCGAAGCCAGCTGCCTCACTGGCCAGGAAATAACCCATTCCAGGATGGGGCCTTTGCAGAGGCCCCATGAGCTTGCCTTGGCCCCGTGGGGCCCATCCTTTTGGCATGCAGGTGGAGGTCCCTGGGGCAGCAGTGGCTCCACACGCTTCGCCCAGCTGTTTTGCTGTCGCCCCGGGCCTCTGTCATGTCCCGTCTCTGTTCACGTGTGTCTGCGGGGGAGCACATGCACACGCGTGCCCCTTCTGTGCTGCTCCGCTCTGTCTGTGCGCAATGGCCCAGGGCGGCGGCGCGAGGCAGGGGTTGCAGCAGTGGGGTGGGCGGCGGGAACCAGAGCGTGGAGGAGGGTGAGAGGCCCGTGTGCCTTCGCTCCACTCCAGGTGTGGGGGGCTCTGAGCCCTCCTCCGTCTCAGCCCAGCCACTCTGGCCCCGTGGCTGGTTTCTCCTGCTGTCACAGAGCCGTTGGAGCCCTTGGTAGAGAATTTGGGGAAGGGCATGGGGCATGGCACACGGGTGTACGTGTTCCTTGTGGTCAGTGTCGTTCCTTGTATATCAACAGCAATGTGGTGGGTGTCTCATGGCACAGAAAAGGGCTCAGGACCGTCATGCTCCTGTCCTTTGCATGTCAATCCATGTCTGAAGCCAGGTCTCTGCGTGAAGACAGCGGGTGGGCTGCGTCTGTGCTCTCTCCCTAACGCCACTGAGTGCAGCACCCCCATGAAGGCATCAGAAGGGTCTTGGAGCAGGAGGGTCCGAGCAGCCCACAAAGTGCTGGGAGCTGACCCAGACTGGTGGCACTGGGGGCACACTGGCCACCACAGCACCTGCTCAGGCCTGGGGCTGTGGACATCGCCAGTACCCTGCCCGCTTCCCTCCAAATCAGAGCCCAGTCACAGCTGGGTTGGGATTGAGAGGCCTCCCACAAATTGCCTGTCTGTTGGTCTGGGGTGGAGCTGGCAGAGCCAGCAGCATGGGCAGGTCCAGCCCTCCAGTGGGTCCAACCTGCCTTTTCGTCCAGGGCCAGAGGCAGTTCCTCCCCGGCCCTCACTTCTGTGCGCCCTCCAGCACCTTCCTTTTGTGTCCAGCAAGACCCTAGTGTCCCCCCGCACAGAAGCATCCCCAGCTCTGAGATTCAGGTCCCCTCCGCTTGGTTTTGTCCCAGCTGACGTCCACCTTGCAAACCTCCGGAAGTCCAGGGCTCACCGGGTGCGCGCGTCAGCATCCACCTTCACACCAAGGGGACCAGTGGCCAGAGGGAGCCAGCTGGTGGCCCCCAACACTGCGTATCTGCACCTGGAGCTGTGCCCTGCGGACAAGGGCTGGACCCAGCCCCTAGAGCCAAGCCTCTTCCCATATGTACATTTTGAGCCTGGATTCTTCCCAGGATGGGTCATCCTGAGCAGCTCATGCAGGGCAGAGCTCCCAGGGTGGATGTGCTCTGCAGACCAGGGATGGAGAGGAGGAGGCGGCCTTCCTCCCTGCAGGCAACGCAGTGTCTGTCAGGCATCTGTCCTTGCGCCGAGTGTGTGCTGTGGATTTTCCAGGGCAGCATCGCTTCCATGTGGCTTCTTCCTGGCATGGGGACAAGGGAGAGAGCAGCGAGGTGGCCAGCCTGACCCCGTCAGGGTGAAGGACAGCTTCCCCGGCATGGAGCGCCCCGGCTGCCCATCCACCCCAGCTCTGTGGGCCGTGGGCCCACCGCTGCTCCTGGCCGTGTTGCAGGGTGCTGGCCCATGCTGGGAGCTTTGCCAAGGTGCTAACAGGGAGCCAGGCCAGCCCTTGTCCAGCACATCAGCAGCTTCTCTCCGTCTGGGAGGCGTCCCGTGGAGCTTTGCCATGCCGTCTTTGTGCCGCTGTCTGAGGGGCCTGTGCGGCATCTTGCTTGGCATCTTATGAGCTCTGAAGTGCCAGCAGCGGTGGCCCTGGGGGACGAGCCGTCCACTCCCCTCGTCCTCAGTCCCTGTGCAATGGCTGTCTGTCTGAGGGGCTCACCCCTTGTTGGCCTTTAACCTTCTCCAACTCTTTCTTCCAGATCTTTGGACCCCCCTCACTTATCCCTCAGATATTTACCCATGGAGAGCAGGTACCATCCCACTGGCGTTTCCCTCTTCCTTCCTCATGCAGCTTTCTCGGGTCAGCCTGGACACCTGCGGCAGGGTGTAAGGCAGGCTGTGGAGTCAGCCCACACCAGGAGGAGGAGGAGGAGGAGGAGGAGGAGGAAGAGGAGGCACCACTCCTGGCCCGGGCACTGCAGGGCAGCTGGAGAGCTTGGCGCCCCTGGCCCCAGCAGGGGATTAGGGACCATCAGTTTTAGGGGGAAAGTCGATGAACCTTTTGAGGCAAACCTTGTGGAGCTCAGATGCCAACGCTGGGCAGAAATACTGTCCCTGAGGCCAAAGAAAGGGCCAGGAGAGATGGAGGTGGGCAACAGGGCCAGTCTCAGCATCTCTCATCTGTATCTCAGAACGTCCTGCTTTAGGCTGGCTCTGGTTTAACCTGGGTGAGCCTCTCCTGCGTCCAGGTTTGACTGGCCGCTGCTACCGGAGGGGCATGGGTGGGAGGGAGGTGGGGGCAGCAGGAGATGCAGGGAGCAAAGCTGCCCCTACTCGGCCCACACCTCGGCTTGCTGCCGAGCCCTCTCCCAGTCCCCCACTGTGGACGGGGCCAGGACGGGTTCCCAATGGTGCTCCCCAGGCCCGTTCCGGCCAGCCAGTCCCTGCTCAGGCGTGGAGGCTCTCCTCCTAGCTCCCCACCTCCCCACCTTCTCTCTCTGCGCGGCTCCATGCTGTTGGGCCAGGCCGTCTCCCTGCACCGAGGAGCACGCCTGCCCCAGCAGGGGCTGGCGGGGGAGGCTGGGGTCTCCCAGCTGTGCTGGTGGGGCAGGGGGGCCTGCCAGGGGCTGGGCAGGGATTTCAGCCTCAGGCGCTCTCAGCCTCTTCGTCAGAGACTGGGGGGTGTTTCACAGGCATCGTGGTGGTAAGTCTCACCTAATCCACGAGCAGGGGTTCTCTGGCCGTCAAGGAAGGTCCCCTCTTCCCTCTCTCTTGGCAGAGAGCCCAGGCATCCTGCACCCCACCAGCACTGACCACTGCACCTCCTGGTCTCGTCTGCCGTAAGCGGGACCGCGCAGGAGCGGTGGCGGGGTGGCTGCAGGGACAGGAGCAGGAGGGGAAGGGAAGGGGCTGCCTGCAGGTAGGGGGTGACTGGCTCTGCCCTTCTTCCCATGCAGGCGCCGGAGCCAGAGCTGGGGGAGCAGTACGAGACGGTTTGCGACTCTACCTACAGCGAGGCCGAGTCGGCCGCCGCGGAGGGGCTGGACCTGCCTCTGCCCAGCTACTTCCGCTCCCGGAGCCACAGCTACCTCCGAGCCATCCAGGCGGGCTGCTCCCAGGAGGAAGACACGGGCTCCGTCCGCTCCATCTCCCCCCCGCCGGCGGGCAGCCTCAGCGGCAGCAGGACCCTGCCCACCAACAGCAGTGAGTGCCAGCGGCGCGCAGCAGGGGGGCAAGGGAAGGGGCGCAAGGCCAGCAGGAACATGAGATGCTGTCGCCGACCGCCTGGGAGGCGTCGAGGAGGCGAGGCGCTGGGCTCAGGCACCTGTATCTCCAGCCACGGTTGTTCAAGATGCCTGTGGGCTTACAGGGGCTTCCTCCATGCAGGAGAGGGAGGCCAGCAGCCAGGCACACCGCTAGGACGGCTGGGGCTGGGTGTCTGGATGCCGGCACTGAAATGGCAGAGAGGCTCTGGTTGCTGGGATCTGGCCGGCGCTGCTGACGTGGCCTGCGATGTCCAGGAGAGCTCAAAGTCTTCACACAGTTAAGCCAAACGCAAGCCTGAGTGCTGTGGCTGGGCCACCCTGCAGGATGCCCACGTTGCCCAGGAACACTGGCTGCCCTCTCTGCCTGACGCCCTGTGAGGCTGTGTGTGCAGCGGGAACCTGCGGCACAGGCAAGCAGCCTTGCTGCCCTACACTAGCTTCCATCATCCTCCTCCTCTCCACTGTGCTTCTCTTATTGCCCCAGCCCAGGCAACACTTGACAGCTTTGACCTATCTCTGAAACTCTTGGGAACAAAAATGTCTATAAGGGACTCTGCAGCAGTTCCCCTGGTGTCTGACCTCTGCAGCCCCTGCCACCAGAGGCAGAAATTGGGGCTGGTGGAAGGAGAGAGGGCAGAAGGCGTCTGCCTCCCTCCCCCAGTGGTGGAGGTGTGACAAGGCTTTGGGGTTCACCGTGAACTTCTTTGCAGGTTCCCACATAGGGCAGGACTCCTGGAAACAGCCTGGGGGGTCGGGTCTGGGGTAAAAGGCAAATGGTGTGAATTTGCCCCCTGAAGATCCACAAGGTTTGTGATTCTGCCCCGCAGAGTCACGGGCAGGTCGGCCCCTGCCCAGCCAGGGGCCTGAGCCACCACCAGTGAGGGCAGGACCCCAGCCGGCCCGGCCCTGAGCAGCACAGCCCCAGCAGCGGCATGACGTGCCAAAGGTAGGGCTTGCCGGCGCGGCTCCTCTGCCACCCAGGTGACAGCTCTGCTCCACGCAGAGGCAGAGCGGTGCTGCCTGTTGGGCTCACAGCACTCGCGCCCAGGTCCCTTCCCCTGCGGATAGGGCAGAATTGGTAACATCACCCCAGTGCACCCAGCCCTCAGGCTGCTGCCTGCAGACCAGCCTTGTGAAATTGTCTGACGGTCCCAGCGCCAGGAGTTCATCCCTTGGCTGGACTGGCTCCAGCCGCTTTCCCTCCCAGAGACAGAATTGCAGCAGCCACCATAGGTGCCTAACGCAGTGAGTCCTATCCCCCCCCCTCCTTTAGGCGTACATAGACCAGAGACCCTAACATCCCTGCTGTGGGGTAAAAGCAGGTCTTGCTCTGAGTTCCAAGGCACTAACGAGCCTTCCCAAGCCCCAGGGCCCAGCGCCCTGCAGCCTCAGTGCACTGAGTGCCCGGCAGCCCCAGATGCCCCTTCTGGCACTGGGTGCGGGCATTATTCATTCCAGGTCCTTCTCCTTGGCTTAGCAATTGTTGTACTGGAGAAGAGCCTGGCCTCTCCCTCCGATGTGTGTCAGGACTGACTCCGTCCCCGGGCTCGGGCAGTGTTTCTCAGCAGTTTCATACCAGCTGGGCTGTCTCTCCTGGGAGGCAGCTCCCAGCACCACAGCAGCATGGGTCTCCTGGCCAAAGGTCTGGCCGGGCTGGGGCTGGGTCTCCCGTCATGCCCACCAGCGGTGCTGCTGGAGGAGGCTCCTGTGGACACCCCACGCGTTCAGCACCTGGGCAGGAAGCAAGGAAGGCAAGCACTTTGCCCCAGGATGTAATTTTGCCAGGATGCTGGGGTCACTGGCTCAAGACAGCGAGGAAGGGTAATGGCTGCTCAGACCTCGCCGCGCTGGGAAAGCCCAGGAGGAAGGAGATGCAAGAGCTGGTTTTCTGTCTCATCCAAAAATGAGCTGGTGCTGGCTGCAGAGACCAGCACCGCCCTGGCCCAGGGACATGTTTGGCACAGCCAGGCTCTACCCGTGGCTGCCCTTACCCAGGCACAGTCTGCAGCAGGGGCTGCTCGCCCTGGCGGTCCACGCCTCTCCTGGAAAACACATGTGAGGGCCGTGGGTGGCAGGGAGGAGCATTGCTCTGGAGATGCTGCTTCTGCAGACGGCTCCCGAAGGCCTGAGCAGAGCCAGCAGCCTCAGCTGTGCAAAGCTGCAGCATGGGGAGCAGCTCTGCTCTCACTGCAGCACTGCGGTCAGTGCGAGGCCCCCCCGGGGGGCGGGAGCAGGCTCCGGAGAGTCGGCAGGCTCTTGCACAAGAGAAACCTGTTACCTTTCCATGTTGGTTCAAGACACTTCATCTGCATCACTTTTGCATCATTTTCTTGAAGGCAGCCTGTCTCCCTCTGGGCAGCCTGTCTCCCTCTGGGCAGCCCCAGTGCTCTGGGTGAGTCTCGGCCATAAGGCAGAGCGCAAGGAGCTGAGGGGTCCCATCACGGGAACAATTTTGGGAACCGGTTAGAATAGGTGACGCCATGGTGTTCCCGCGCATGGTGGTGCCTGGATGTCATGGCAGGCAGACAGCAGAGTGGGCAGGAGGAATTCGGCATCTCACCAGAGTTGTGCCGCACTGCTGGCAGCATGGAGGCAGAGAGCAAGCCCTGGCACTCATGGGGATGCCGGGGTCAGGTCCAGTGGGGTAGGCGCCAAACCACAGAGCTATGGGGGGTTCAGAGCAGCCTCGGCATATCTGCCGTGGGCAAAGCTGCTGGAGCACAGGAGCGGGCTGTGGGTGGGAGCCAGGTCGGAGCCCCATCCCAGCAGCAGGCAGAGCGGGAAGGGGAGCACCAGCAACCTTCATGCCTGGCTCCAGGCCTTCCCACCCAGAGATGTGCCCATGCCCTCGCATCCCCCCATCAGTGGCCTGCACTCCAGAGTCATCACAGTCCAAGCCCACAGGACGTGAGGCAGGGACTGGAAGCAATGCCCCAGGAGGGACGGGCTGTTTGCTCAGCCCCGGCCCTCCTTCCTACCACCCTCTCTCTCCCCCGCTCTCCCATGAGCTTCCCACCCTGGCTCACTTCATTCTCTGCAAGCTCACCCCTGCTCCTCGCCGGCCTGTACTGAGCCCAGCGCTCCTGCAATTCCAGGCTGACACCAGGCAGCGACAGCAGGAGGGGACTTTCAAAATGACTGGTTGCCACCTCCTTCTGACATGACCCATCAGAGAGCTGCTGATTTCCAGAACACCCTCCAGGCCTTTGCATTGGCTGCTGGGGCTCAGGGAGGGAAGCGTTTTTGATAGAGAGGATGGGGAGCAGAGAGGAGCATCTGTGCTTGCATGTGTGCACGGCAGGGAAGGGAGGTCTGGGCAGCAGTCACACCTTTAATCAGCCACCCGGGCTCAGTTCCCCCTGCGAATGTGTATCACCAAGGCTTTAATCGGTTGCTGTTGTACGAGAGGGGCCTCCTGAGCAGCAGATTGATGCCTCTCAGCTTGACGATGTCAGTCTGGACCACGAGAGAAGCAGCATCATCTGCAGGTCTAACAGTTGCTCATGGGCTCTGCTCCATGCAGGGCTCTGGGGTGACACAATGGAGAGCCCGCGCCCATTCCCTTCCCACGGACACCCTACTGCTCCAGCACCCATGCACCGGCCCGGAGGAACTGCTCCCATCCAGTGCCCAGTCCCCGAGAGGAGGATTGGGTTTCTCCCCTGTAGGGACACATCCTAAGGAGGCACGAGCAGCAGCCAAGCTGTGGCTGATGCAGACTTCTCATTCGTTGAGGACAGTGCGGGGCTTGACTCGTAAGGCAGAGGGATTCAGGCACCAGCTGAGGGCACGAGGAGGTGCAGTGAGCCCCGTTTCCTGGGGAGGCTGCCAGTCCGGGGTCTGTGTGGGGAGCAGGGCCGGGCAGGAAAGCCTTGACAGCTGTCACACCCCCAACAAGCCGGTTCCTCCCACAAAGGCCTGTGTCACTCCCGCCTTACAAGGCAATTAGCTCCCGTTTGACAGCCAGCGAGACAGATGATGAGCTGCCCTTGATCAACCTTAAACAAAGCTTTGTGCCTTTCGAAGCCGGAGATTCAAAAGCCCCAGTGAAACCTCTTCATCTAATTGCCAGGCGCTCAGCCGACAGCCACGTCGGCTCCTGAGCATTACAAAGGGCTCCCCAGCCCCAGCTCCTTCTTATTAGAGGCAGCACTGGGAATTGCTTGCTTAATAGACTGCTTGCAATAGAGCTGAATATTTGATGTCCAGGGGAAAGAGGAAAGCAGAGGTGAGCAAAGCACAGCAGAAGGAGGTGATAATCCCCAGTGCAGAGACCCCAGCCCAGCCTCCACCCAATGCACACACCAGCGACAGCAGGGACGGCTCTTGCCAAGCTGGTTCCTGCTCCAGTCCTCCCAACACCATCTGGTAACACCACCCTTGCTCAGAGCACCCTGCCCTGGGATTCAGCAGCCTGTTCCCAGAAAGCCCAGGTGCCCAGCTCCTTACCTTGTGCCCAGACGTCTCCCGGGGAGGCCAGGGGATCCAGCTCTGCCCCTCCTCCAGGAACGGGCTGTCTCTGTTACCCATGGTTAGGGTGTCCCTGAGAATGCAAGCTCGGGTGGGCAGTGACCCTCCGGTTCTCCCCTTCTGCTGACCCCCATGACGGCAGCTCTGGCCGCAGGCCCCCAGCCCAGCACAGTGCAGGAACCACAACACCTGGAGCAGAAGGAGCTGGAGAAGCTCCCTTCAGGCCAGCCCAACCTTGACCCCAACCAGACCAGCCAGGGGGCCCTTGGGAGCCACCAGCACTCCCACAGACAGCTGCCAGGGCTGTGACCTCCTTGCACCTGCCCCTGTGCCAGAGCTTTGCTGAGCCCAGGCTGGGCATGAGAACACTACCTGTAAGAGATACTCCCCAAAATCGGACAGAATAGCCACCCTTCTGCCTCCAACCTGCTTTCTCTCATCTTTGTATTGCTTTTTTTTTTTTTTTTT